TTCCGTAATTAGAAACATTTTTCTTTTTAGTTATCTTAATCCTATGGTTTTCTATCTGTCTTCCTATTGTTTACAGATACTATCGTACCTCTTTGTGAAAAATCTTTATCTTTTTCTTATCATTAGTTGTTTTCTTTCGATATTAAACATTTAAAAATCTTAATCTAATACAAACTTTTACAAACTCTTGCTTTTCTGATATGATTAGCATTAACAAGTGTATATATATATATCAAAATTTTTGTAAAGACAATAAAAGATTAAACATCAAAACATCAAAATATCAAAATATCAAAATATTCTTTTTATATACTTTAATAATCTCTTTATATTTTATTTTTCTTATTTTCCTCGGGTGTAAGACAGCAAACGCTGTTCTCGTGCCAGCTACTTTTCCAAGGAACTTCGAATGTCCTGATACGTATTGGTGCAACACGTCGAGTAAGCAGGTATCCCAACATCGATGAACCAAAAGCGCCACTACGCGCAGTGGGAAAAAGATCAAGCTGGTGGACAATGTTATCGACGGAAGCAAACGTGACGGCGGCAGATAACATTTCACAAGGTAACCTCGTCTGTGATTCAAGCGTACAAGTTCTCTTACCAAGGAATTTATTTCTTGCGCGAGCGATGGTAATTGAACCGATGCTTCGAGATTTCGCCACTGGCGGCGCTGATGTCGATTACCTACGCGTCTCTATCGGTAACAATTGGCTACCAATTTCGAACGTTTCCTTCGCTACGAGTAATAGCAATATTTGCAGGTTTATAGGAACAGATAATTCTTGCTACTTTTTGCAAGCATTCTTACGATAAAAACGGCACGAATCATTTGTGTTACGCTTTTTAATTCGCCTTTCGTCGAAAAACGAGCTTTATACCGAAAAATTTATTACTTGCAGTATAATAATACTGGCAACGAATTAATTGAACGACACTACGAGCACTGTACAATTAAAAAGACGATATAAACGAGTAATTTAGCTTGTTAGATTCGTTAGAGACGGAGTCTTTTTATTGAGAATAGATCAATTCTTTAGATCAATCTCATTTATTTTTTAAAGACTCTTAAAAAGTTAGCATATGATACAACATAACAATCTAATAATAATATCTAATAATATCTAATCTAATAACTATCTAATTATGTATAATACAAACTATTTTATATCTAAGTAGAAACTGAGATATTTTTATAATCATATGTTATAATCTAATAATATCTAATCTAATAACTATCTAATTATGTAATACAAACTATTTTATATCTAAGTAGAAACTGAGATATTTTTATAATCATATGTTATAATCTAATAATATCTAATCTAATAACTATCTAATTATGTAATACAAACTATTTTATATCTAAGTAGAAACTGAGATATTTTTATAATCATATGTTATAATCTAATAATATCTAATCTAATAACTATCTAATTATGTAATACAAACTATTTTATATCTAAGTAGAAACTCTGAGATATTTTTATAATTAAATATTATATAATCATATATTATAATCTAATAATATCTAATCTAATAACTATCTAATTATGTAATACAAACTATTTTATATGTAAGTAGAAACTGAAATGATTTATAATCAAATATTACATTTTATAAAAAGATCATCGACAACTTTAAAAAATTTCGGTCCTCTCAGCAAAACATGTATGTCACGAAGAATTTCATTCTGCTCTCAACGAACTTTTGAAAAGCGCCACATATACATTTAGTACAATACCCTAAAAAAATGATAAAGATGCGGAAAAACAAGACGCGACTTTCAAACTTCAAATTCTCTAGAGACAAGCTCGTAAGGTCGCTTAAAAGTAAAATCCAATCGTTCGAATTCAAAACGAATCTCTAGCCGGATCATAGTTCGTCGACCGATTGGACGGTGGCGGTATCTGGCGGCGGCAGCCGGAGCTCGCCGGGCGGCCGTGAACCCTTTGATCAGGGGCTGCCCTTCTGCAGGGGTCGCTCCGAAGCGGCGTGGGTTAGTGGCCCTCGGTCCTCAGTATCGCGCGTCGCTTCGAGGTGTATCGTTGACTGAGGTTTCGTTCTCTCGTCGTCGCGCACAGTGTGTCGGCACAGACTTGTAAATCGTTTTCAACTCGGAACCCGAAGACGGATGATCGCATAGAATGACGGCAACGTGAGAAAAACAGAAATCACGAATCGTCGAATTCGGGCTCCTGTGCGATCCCGTGCGTACTTCCGTGTCGCGTGCTTCCCCGTAACCTGGACACTAAAACAAGGATGCGGAGCCTGGACCTAGCCGCGTTTCTGCTCAGCCTCCGTGAGTATCGCGCGTCGCCCGACAGGGAATCACGGTCCCTCGCGAGGAACCCTCGCGCGCGCCTCTGGATCGGCGACCTGGATCCGCGATCGCGGCAATAATTTACGCACGGTAGCCGCGCGGGGGGAACAGAGAATGGCCGGTCGCCTCGATCAGCGGCGGAGTAAAAGACGGCTCGAGTAAATATTTCGTTTCGCGGACGGTGCAACGGTTTCGTTTTTTTCTACGGTATTGTTTTTCGGACAGGGGCCGGCACACCGGCCACACCGGCTCTCCGACGAATCTCTCTCTCTGTACCTCGGTTTCTTTCTCCGCCGCGCTGTAATTATGGTTAATTGGGCCTGGCTGCCGCGACTCCGAGACAAACGGCCGCTTTGAACAGTCTCGGCTCTCTCTCTCCCCTACTTCATCGAGCCCCTTTTCTCACAGTCCGTTGCGATTACTCCGACGCGGGTTACTCGGATCGTTAACGATCGCTAGATCGTTTCCTTGTTTTTCTTTCTTTCCTTTTTGTTTTTTGTTCGTTTGTTCGTTTCGCCGTGACGTTCCCGTTTGCCCGGAGCGTGTCGGGCGAGAGAATCGCTCGGCGATGTCCGCCGGATTCCATCGATTTTCGGTAAAAAGCTCGAGCACGCGTAATTTTCTCGTCTCTGGACGGAGTCGGTCCTTCCTCGGCTCTCTCTCTCTCTCTCCCTCCCTCTTTCTTTCTTTCTCTACGAAAGCGAGCATAAAGACAGAAAAGGGAAAGAAAAAAAGAGAGAGAAAGAGAGAGTCGCGGGATTATCGCATCGAATTGGTGGCGGGAGCGTACGCGATCGCTGGATCCGCTCGAGAGTGTTGCCAAAGCCGTATCGATGGCCCTTTAACACGGTCGGGCAATTCGGCGGGCCGAGATCTGAAAAGCGGCTCGGCGACTCGACGACTCCAATTTGCAGCTGGTCGGTCGGATCGGTTGAATCGATCGTGTCGATCTCACGTGTGCACCGTCCTGAAATTCGCAGCGGCTCCGATGCCGGTGATAGTCTCGACGACGATGTTGATGGCGACGGTGTGATGGTGGTGGTGATGGTGGTGGTGGTGTGTGGCAGTCGGGTGGATGCTGGGCTACACGGCCTCACTCCATCGTCCATGATGCCGGCCGGTTACCCACCGGTGTGCCGCGTCTTTCCCTCTCTCTCTCTCTCTCTCTCTCTCTTCGTCTCTCTATCCTTCTCTTTCTCTCTTGCTCTCTCTCTCTCTCTCTCCGTTTCTCCCCTTCCCCTTCTCGAACGGCAGAACCGGTTCGATAGCCATGCACACCTACATAGCGAATATACGCAGACTCGATGGCACAGAGGGGCCATATTACGTATCCACCTACCTAATATCGACGGTAACGTCGTATACGCGGCTCCACGTGTAATTAATAGGAACGACTCGGAGGAGCTACGTTCCTCCAGTTTCAGCATTTCTTGCGGGCCGTTACGCTCCATTCGGCGAGCCGAGCGGCGACGGGAACATCTTTCCAGAGAGAGAGAGAGAGAGAGAGAGAGAGAGAGAGAAATTGAGAAAGAAGGGAAGAGAGAGAGACAGAGTGAGAGAGAAATTGAGAGAGAGAGTGAGAGAGAAATTGAGTGAGAGAGTGAGAGAGAAATTGAGAGAGAGAGAGAGTGAGAGAGAAATTGAGAGAGAGAGAGTGAGAGAGAAATTGAGAGAGAGAGAGAGAGAGAGAGAGAAATTGAGAGAGAGAGTGAGAGAGAAGGGAAGAGAGAGAGAGAGAGTGGTGACCTGGACCGAATCGATCCACGCCGAAACCGCTTGCGACGAGAATAGACCGTGCAACGTACTCCATCGATGATGTACCTTTGACAAGAGTCCTCCCATTGAACAGCGTGAAGAGTAACCACGAGTCCGCGGACGCGGATCTTTCGAGAAAGAATCGATCGGTGCGTCGAATTGGGTCCGATCGTATCGTACCCCCCACCCCATTCTATGGGGGAGCGAGAAGTTGCTAGCGTTTGCAAATACACGAGTACTACGTACGCGTTGTCGATGGATGGGCCGCGCGCGGGGCAAACCCCCCCTCGACCACGGTTTTCTCTTCTCCGGGGTGGTTGGTTGCCCCACCGGCCACTTGGCTATTCATCTTGGTCCGGTGCTCCTAATTACACGTCTCGGGTTACGGATGAGAACGACGCCGTTCGGAGACGTCCTGTGCCCTGAAAAGGGGTACCAGCACATTGCTGCTGCTTTTTTCTCGCTCTTCTTTCTCTCTCTCTCTCTCTCTCTCTCTCTCTCTCTCTCTCTCTCGCGTGCGCTTTCTCTTTCTCTCTCTCTCTCTCTCTCTCGCTTGCGCTTTCTCTTTCTCCTCTCTTCTCTTCTGTTCTAGCGAGATTCTTTCCCCCATCGCCCTCTCTTTCTCACTCTGTAAATCTTTTTTACACTGGTTGCCACTAAAGGCCCTTTGTCCGTGACCCGGCGCGCGCGGCTATTTTATACGCCGAATGTTATTCAGCCCCGGAGTTACTCGCGACCTCTTTCTCTCTCTCTCTCTCTTTCTCTCGATTTCGATCTCTCTCGGTTAGCGCGTCCGTCTCCCTCGCGCCGAAGGGAGTTTCTGAAACCGCCGTGTCGAGGAACACGCGCGACTAAGAAACTCGAGGGGCCGGGGGTTGAGGGCGGCCCGGGAGGGAGGAGGGGTTGGCGAGAGCACGAAGAAAAATTGTATTAGCTCTTTGATCCCTTGGTCGCGGCGGAGCGACTCGACAGAAAAAGAAGGAATGAAAGCGGAGGCCGCGGATAATGCGGCCATTTACGCATAAAGTAGCGAAAACGAGGAGCTTTTCCGGGTGCATCGCGACAGAGAAGGGTGCTTGCTCGCTTTCTCCGAATCTGGCTCGGTTTCCAGGGGGTCCGCCGCGCGATCCCGGTTTCGCCGGAAGCATCGAACGGCGACAATCTCTCGGCGACCGTGTTCGTAGACTAACGAAACAGAAACCGATTCGAACGCGGAGAGATAGAACGTGACGTTCCGTGGACATCGGGACGCTGCACGACGGACAACGGTATCGTCGGCGATAGCGGGACTTCCGGTCTCTTATTTCGAAGCTGGGCGATTCGTCTGCTCGAGACGCGCGATCGCTTCTTCCTGCTCGCGCCGGCTCCCGGCGGTGCTCGTGCGGGAAAGCGCGTGAAATGGTTCGTCGCGGGCAAAAACAGCGTTTGATGACCCGCGTGGGGCGCGAGAGACGCGGATAATATATTTGGAGCGGACGGCGCGGCGAGGCGAGGCGACGCGAGCGGGCCGATGGGTCCCTTTGAAATTGCTCGCGCCTCGCGATTGTGCGCCCCGCGCCCCGCGCTCCGCACTCCTCGCCGCTCCGCGCGCGACGCACGCCCTATTTCAGGGCCTGCTGAAACACGGGGCTCTCTCTCTCTCTCTCTCTCTCTCTCTCTCTCCGCTCCGGCCGCCCGTGCGCTCGATCGGCTCTTTCTGTTCGACGAATTCCCTTTGACTCGGTCGCGTGAATAGCTCCCTCTCCGTGGATTCCTTTCCCCGCCGCCGCTGCCGCGAGACTCCCGATTTTTCAATTTTTTACACGAGTACCCTTCTATCGCGTTTTCACTCCATATCGCGAGTGTTTTCCTTTCCCGCGGCCCGCCATGGCCCGGCATTCGCGTCCACTTGAGCGTGGCTGCGGAATGAACGCGCGCGGAATGCCGCGTCGCGTTACACTTTTGCTGCGNTCGAAGCTGGGCGATTCGTCTGCTCGAGACGCGCGATCGCTTCTTCCTGCTCGCGCCGGCTCCCGGCGGTGCTCGTGCGGGAAAGCGCGTGAAATGGTTCGTCGCGGGCAAAAACAGCGTTTGATGACCCGCGTGGGGCGCGAGAGACGCGGATAATATATTTGGAGCGGACGGCGCGGCGAGGCGAGGCGACGCGAGCGGGCCGATGGGTCCCTTTGAAATTGCTCGCGCCTCGCGATTGTGCGCCCCGCGCCCCGCGCTCCGCACTCCTCGCCGCTCCGCGCGCGACGCACGCCCTATTTCAGGGCCTGCTGAAACACGGGGCTCTCTCTCTCTCTCTCTCTCTCTCTCTCTCTCTCTCTCTCTCTCTCCGCTCCGGCCGCCCGTGCGCTCGATCGGCTCTTTCTGTTCGACGAATTCCCTTTGACTCGGTCGCGTGAATAGCTCCCTCTCCGTGGATTCCTTTCCCCGCCGCCGCTGCCGCGAGACTCCCGATTTTTCAATTTTTTACACGAGTACCCTTCTATCGCGTTTTCACTCCATATCGCGAGTGTTTTCCTTTCCCGCGGCCCGCCATGGCCCGGCATTCGCGTCCACTTGAGCGTGGCTGCGGAATGAACGCGCGCGGAATGCCGCGTCGCGTTACACTTTTGCTGCGCCGCGGCGCTCGCGGGCCCGAGTACAGCAAACGAAATCCGAAATCGACGAAATCGTCGTCTAATCGTCGCATCGAACGTCGGCTGCCGACGACGACGCTGTTCGCGAGCGGAAGAACGAGAATTCGCGCGTCTCGCCGTTACCGAAGATAACTTCGGCAGCCGGCGGGCCGTCTGGAAACGTCTGCCCGATAAGTAGCCAACGCCTTCCGCGTCGTCGTCGTCGTCGTCTTTCCTCGCTCGAGCTGTTTCGCATTCAACGCCGCAATTCCGACGGCGCGCGGCTTTTCTCTCCCGGCGTCTCGAAGGACGAGCCCGCGACCCGATAACAGCCCCCTTAACGAACGCTAGACACCCCGACCGCTGTCTGCTCGGCCCGTGGAATTTTAAGGGCGGAACTTTTTTTATTTTAACGACTCGCTATAAGAAATTCGAGGGGCCAGGAGGGGCTTCCTTCCGTGTCAATGTCGTTCCAGGCGCCTCCGCTAATTCGCGTTCCGCTTTTGTGCCGGTCACCGCGAAGCGCGACGGAAGTGGCGTTACTCCTTCGCTGTCAAAAGGGCGTCGGTACTCTAGCTCGCGTCGGGACGCCGGGGACCGGCGTCTACGTCACTGGCG